AGAGGCTGTACTAAGTAATCTCACTATTACTAGTTCACCAGTTCAAACGACCCAAAGAGGGAAAAAAGAGGGTCCTCTACGACAGACTTTCTAATTTCTGTCCCCCTCCGTAAGTTCAAAATCTTCTCTCCCCAGAAGACATTGTATCCACTGCTAATGTTGCAGCCAGACAAAAATGTTATTTTTGTGGTCTCAAACTACACCCCAGGTTGTGCTGCCCTTCCAGTGAATGTAAATGACACAAGTGCGGGAAGAAGAGACATTTCTCTAAGGTTTGCCAATCAAGCATTTTTTTTTAATCTAGTTCGAATGCTCCGATTGCGATTAGTACCGTATCAACTGCAAAACCTAATTGTCTTTCAAAGGCTATATTAACGATAAAAATAAACGGGATAGAAATGAATGCTCTAGGAGAGACACGATGCCCAGAGGGTTTTATTAGCGCTGATATTGCAAACAAAAAAAAACATTTAAAACTGTATATAGCAATAGTCAGGTGCCCGGCGTTGAACATCTGTCGCTTGGCCGCTATAAATATACAATACCCCTCTCTTTTTGAAAACTTAACAAAGATCTCTAAACCAGTGGCCACCAAATCTCGAAAATATTCTCGTGAAGCCAAAATGTTTATTCAAACAGAAATAACCAGAATATTAAGAGAAGGAAAAATTGAAGAAAGCAGGTCGCCATCATTGAGGGTACGTGTATTAATAACGTTCTCTGATAATATAAAAAGGATGGTCATAGCCAACTCCCAAACTATAAATAGGTACACCCTCCTGGATGCATACCCTATACCCCGCATTGACAAGATAATAAACGAGATCTCCAAATACAGAATATTTGACACGTTAGACCCAAGGAGTGCTTACCACCAAGTAGCTATATGCTCCTTAAACGACTTTTGAAGCTTGCGGACGGCTTTATCAGTTCCGACGGATTCCGTTTGGTGTCACTAACGCGGTTTCCAGTTTTCCGAGGGCCCTCGATAAAATGATTCTTGAAAAAAAAACTACAAGACGCCTTTGTCTACATAGATGACGTGACAGTGTGCGGCCATGACTGAAATGACCACAATCGCAACCTAAAACGTTTTTTGGCGGCTGTCAAAAAATATGATCTTACACTCTAGCATGACAACAATCAGACTACTTGGATATATATATGTCTAAACGAATCATGAAACCGGACCCTGAACGACTAAAACCACTGCTAAACCTACCTATTCCCAACACCATAGCCGCTCATTATGCTCAATGGATACCCTACTTTCCTAAAGAAAAAAAAACACCCACTTACGAAAATTACCAAATTTCTACCGTTAAAGCCATTGAGGGGTTAAAAAGTAATATTGCCAAATCAGCCATCATTTCAGTAAATCCTGACATTCCCTTACAGGTAGAGACCGACGCTTCCAACGATGTCATAGCCGCCCCGTTAAGGCAATCCGGGCGCCATGTAGCGTTCTTCTCCAGATCATTGTCAAAATCTGAGCGCAGACATTCAGCTTTCGAAAAGGAGTCTTATGCCATAGTCAAGGCGCTAAAAATGACGACATTTCTTAATTGGTCACGGCTTTAAATTAATCACTGATCAAAAGTCAGTCTCTTTTATGTTTAATCCCAAGAGGTCAACCAAAATTAAAAAAAGGAAAAGATTGCGAGATGGCGGATAGAGCTTTCTTGTTTTTCGTTTGACGTTTTCTATCGGTCGGGAAATGAAAAAGCAACGACGGACGAACCGTGAAGAGTGTGTGGATAGCACCAAATATCTACAAAAAGTTCATAACGATCTCTGTCATCATGGCATCAGGAGGATGATGCATACGGTTCGAAGACAGAATTTACCTTTTTTCAGTTGAGATCGTGAAACGAATAACAAAGGATTGTCAGATTTGCGATCGAAATATCCGTGATTCTACAAACCCGAAGCGGGAACCCTAGTAAAAGGTACACAGCCATTTGAGAGGCTGTGCGTGGATTTTAAGGGTCCTCTTCCATCTAAATCCCGAAACAAATATCTATTTACTGTCGTTGACGAGTACTCACGATTCCCTTTTGCCTTTCCCTGTTCAGATGTAAGCGTAACAAATGTCATACGCTGTCTTTGCTCACTGTTCTCAATATTCAAGACGCCAGCTTACATTCATGCCGATCGCGGGACATCTTTTATGTCCGATCATCTAAGAAGATTCTTATTGGTACAAGGAGTTGCCGTAAGTCGGACTACCGCATACAATCCTCAAGGGAATGGACAGTGCGAGAGATACAATAACATAAATATGGAAGATCGTACAGTTAGCACTTGAAGACTAAAACCTTCCAATTAGACATTGGGAAGAAGTAATAACCAAGGCTCTGTACGCTATAAAACACTATTGTATACAAGAATTAATGCAACAACTCGTGAAAGCTTTTTAAAATTTCCAAGGCGAAGTTCGGCCGGGATCTCCCTCCCTTTGTGGCTCTTAAAGACTGGGACTGTTATACTTAGAAATCATGTTCGACAAAGAAACTATGATTCTACTGCGAGTAAGGTGGAACTGTTCGAGGGGAATCCACTTTATGCGCGAGTTCAGCACTCGAAGGTAGACAATCGAACGTTTGCATCAGAGATTGCGCCACTGCCGATATGTTATCAAACCAGAGGGAGAAGCAGCTCTCCCCCGAATCAATATCTCTCCCTCTCGATAATAACGACAATACAATCCTGATGAACAATGCTCCAGTAATGATGATTCAGAGAACGACAACAGAACAGCTCCCTGAAAACGAGAGCATACTACCGCAGACTCTAACAATCAGCTTTCAGAATCAGAGCGTTCCACTGCAAGAAAGGGACAAAAACTATCTGAGATGAAACACTTCTGGCCCACTGTTCCCGTAATTCCTGAAAGTCCAGATCAGCTGCCACCGAGACGATCCCAGAGAAGTGTCAAGAGACCCAGGCAACTGGATGATTGTGTTTCGGACTGGGAGAAAACAAAGCCGGGGAGAATGTGGGTACACAACCAAATTACCCTCCTCCCGACTTATAATTTGCATGAATAAATCACGGCATCTTTGCCAAAACGGAAAGACTCTTCAGCTACGTTCAATAAAGGCACTTTAAGTCGAACTAGAAACCGAAATTCATTACAGATAGATAGATAGTTAGATAGAAAAAAAATAGAAGATTGATAGAAAAGCAAATAGACGAAAAATAAATAAATCAGATGACCATAGACAGACAGATAGATAGATAGATAGATAGATAGATAGATAGATAGATAGATAGATAGATAGATAGATAGATAGATAGATAGATAATGAAGAGCCCTAGATAGATAGATAGATAGATAGATAGATAGATAGATAGATAATGAAGAGCCATAGATAGATAGATAGATAGATAGATAGATAGATAATGAAGAGCCATAGATAGATAGATAGGTAGATAGATAGATAGATAATGAAGAGCCATAGATAGATGAATGGGTAGATAGATAGATAGATAGATAATGAAGAGCCCTAGATGGATAGATGGATAGATGGATAGATAGATGGATAGATAGATGGATAGATGATAATGAAGATCCCTAGATAGATAGATAGATAGATAGATGGATGGAGGAAGAATGGATGGATGGATGGATAGATGGATTGTTATAAGTATTTGCCTATCAGATGGATACTTGATAGATGGATAATATTTAATTCCCATCTACTAGGCATTTATGCATATATATATATGTATGCAGAGACAAACAGATAGATAGATAGATAGATAGATAGATAGATAGATAGATAGATTTTTATAACTATTTGCCTATCAGAATTAGCTTAAGAAATATTTAATTCCTATTTATTAGACACACACACACACACATATATATATATATATATATATATATATATATATATATAGATAGATAGATATTTATTAGATAGATAGATAGATAGATAGAAAATAAACAGAATGAAAGATAATGAACATAAACACCGAAAAATTGATATACAATTAATCTGTCAAAGTATATAACTCGCAAAATATTTCATTGAGTAATAAATAATTTATTTATTTTTCTTTCTTTCTTTAATTTTCTCCTTTAAAAAATAAAATACAATTATCTTTTATTCAATTTGAAATTATTTCCAATGATTTGTGGCCATTTTATGCAGTACGTCATAGACACTTTGGGTAGGATTTTGCAGGTTTTGACATGTGAAATGACTTGTCTCACTAAATCGTTATTATCTCTCCAGAAAATTCGTTACAATCTAATATCTTCTGCCATGAAATAACCTGCTACGGTTTGATAAAACGTAGAAAATGAATCGATCAATTAAAACATTCTAAACTGACATATATGGTTCTTTCTTAGGATGAGATATACGTCATTGATAAAATTCCGAAAGCAGAAATTTTTTATGACCATGCCTACTACATTAATAATGAAATATATATTGACACATACCTCGATACAAATGAACATATAGTTACCTGTCAAAAATCTGTCTACCTAAATAGATAATAAACACAGAGGAAGATGAATACGAACAGACAGATACCTCCCTACAGATAGATAGACAGACAGAAAGCGACTGAGATAGATAGATAGATAGATAGATAGATAGATAGATAGATAGATAAGTAAAAAGAAAGAGACTGAGATAGATAGAAAGTAAGATGTAGACAAGGTAGATAGATAAATAGATACAGATAAAAAAATAGACAGAGCGATACATAGAAAGAAGGAGATTGATATAGATATTGTTGTAGCAACATGGAGGCTGAGATCAATCGATATAGAGATAGTTATAGATAGAGATAGGGAACAAATGGAATAATAGATAGATAGATAGATAGATAGATACTATGATAGATTGGCATAGATAGATGATGAGATATAGATAATAAGGTCTGCATATTAAATAGATTGAGAGACAGAAAGATAGATAGATAGATGACTCGTATATATAAAAATTGAGATTGATAGATAATAACTGGGATATACAGAATCAAATTGGAGATAGATAGATAGATAGATAGATAGATAGATAGATAGATAGATAATGAACAAATTGGCATAGATAGATAGATAGATAGATAGATAATGAACAAATTGGCATAATAGATAGATAGATAGATAGATAGATAGATAGATAGATAGATAGATAGATAGATAGATAGATCGGGACTGCGATAAAAAAAATTAAAAAGCATAGATAGATAGATAGATAGATAGATAGATAGATAGATAGATAGATATAGATATTGTTGTACAAATTGAGATCAATAGATAGATAGATAGATAGATTAGAGATAGATAGATAGATAAATAGATAGATAGATAATGTCTGCGACAAATTGGCATAAAGATAGATAGATATAAAGATAGATATGATAACAAATTGGCATAGATAGATAGATAGATAGATAACAAATTGGCATATGAACAAATTGGCATAGATAGATAGATAGATAGATAGATATGAACAAATTGGCATAGATAGATAGATAGATAGATAGATAGATAGATATGAACAAATTGGCATAGATAGATAGATAGATAGATAGATAGATAGATATGAACAAATTGGCATAGATAGATAGATAGATAGATATGAACAAATTGGCATAGATAGATAGATAGATAGTTAAATAGATAGATAGATAGATAGATAGATTGATTCTGATACATAGATAGATACTAATTTAACATATTGGCATAGATAGATCCAGTGTTCACTGACTAATTCCATTAATTTAGGTATCATAGCAACGCCACTTACACCAGTGGTTCTCATCCCTGTTCAGACTGTTTATTTTTTTATTCAGGATCTTTCTTCTACATTTGTTACCCTGCCAAAATTTACAGAGCCTAGTTCGCTATATTATTTACATGAATCTGTGCTTTTCTTCGATTCGCCCCAGAGCTAAAGACCCTAGTTTAGTCCATAACTGGCAATGTTCTTTTTAGCTCGAATCTTTCCGTTTTTCTCTTTAGAAATTGGATACCAAAATCTGACACCGTGGAAGTTTGTTCCAATGAAAAAGATTAAGATAGATGTTTATTAGTGAAATCTTGTCACTTACCTACACGTAAATCGCTTATGCGCATGTGCCCGACTTTACTTTTATATCTGTTAGAGATATCCTTCCAAACACGTACGAGTAGGAATCCTTCATTTTCAGAATATGCTTTTTCCAGGACCAAAGTCTTCACTGTCATTCCCAAGAAGTCATGATAATTCACAGATTATCTGTGGAGTATCATGATCTTCTAAGTTCTGGAAGTCATCCATTAAAAATATCGTAGCACACCTGGTAAAATCGAATTCATTATGGTCTGGTCAGTCTATAGGACACAATCTGCGTAACAAAACACATGACAAACTGGAAACCCAATCCTTAACAGAGTGCAAGAGAAGACCCTCTACTTCTGTTCAAAAACCAGGAATGTGAATCGGTGGTAAGAAAATTGTTTAATGATGACCATCTTTGTAGAGATGCCAGAAATTAGTGAAATAACATTGACATTTATCGAAATTTGATTTGATTTTTTAGGGTTTATCAATCTATAGCGGGTTATTTTAAAGCCTTGAAGTATTTTTAGATTGTAAGTAAAACTGATGCTCTTTACCGTTTGACCTTTGAAGACATTTTGATTGACATAATATTTTTTTTCAGATGATAAAAGTTCGACTAATTAGCCACTAGCTGGATGTAGATGAGATGAATTTACACATTTCCCAATGGTATCTGCGCATAAGTGAATATGTCTTACCCGACTGGAATTAGAAATCTGCTCTGCGATTTCCAATTTCAAGCCGTTATCTCTTACACCACCCGCACATTAAAGCTTACAGTCCCTAATATTCCTAAACGGTCATCTATTCAGGTACTGACCAGTCTCAACATTGCATAACTTTGGTGATCGTCATTTAACCCATAGTTGGGGGGACTTAGAGATGAATTCATGCCCTTCTTAAATGAAAAATGAACGCATCTAGCTAGGCCAGAAATTGAACTCGCCTTTCCCACCTCGCTTGCTTAGCTGATAACTGCTACCCTACCTGCCTGTTCGAAAAATAACTCCCCCTCCTAATTTCTACTTCCTTAATTTGAATCTACCTGTTTCTTTCAAGATTTCGAATATATCCCCCATGCCACGCGAACCGAGCTACTTACCTTGTAAATCTATATTTCCTGCAGAAATAGGTTTGAATTTTGCAGTGGGCAACACTGTAGAGTGTTTGAATATATTGTTCGTAAAATACGACCCCGAAATGGCACAAATCTTAAACAATGATTTGAACTAACAAGGTACCGTTCTTGCTTTCGACAGCAAAATTAAATATTTAAGAATATACACGTAAAGAAATAGTAATAAATAAAGTAAATGCTCGCTTTATTGGATTCTCCTTCCTCGGCACAGTACTTGGAAAGATATCTACGAAGCAGGCTTATATTAATGTTCCAAATGCAGCTCAGTTGTTACAGAAATGGTCAGCAAAAAAAAAACAAAAAAAACAGAGTTTTTAATTCCTTCAAAGTGTACATGGTTAATGACATTTGCTATCAAACATCTGTTAAATATATCTATAACTAGCAGTATGGCCCGGCGTTGTCCGTGCTTGATGAAAAAATCGTACGACTCATACAGCAATCGCTATCACTTAACTTAAAATATCTTTGCCCTTCCTTGCCTTTAAAGGAGTGCCCTTTGCCGTGCTGATGTTCCTACATGCCTTACTTCTTGCCTATCTCACACTGCGATTTTTTCTAAGCTCTATACTAAACGTTAAATCTGTTACGAAAAAAGAACTAAACAAAATGAACACAAAACGATCAGCTTTAATAAAGAACTCGATTTTTTTGCATGCTAGCATGCTAGTTAACATTCGTGTCAGTCAGCTGTTGGCTCTCACGCTGGCCAATATAATATTCCTGCCTATTTGTGGCAGCTAGCTATAGGTTGTCACTCTGGCCAGTACAAAATGGCCGCAAACTACATGAAAACTGCCGTAGAGGCATGAAAAAATCGATTATTTCCACTATCGATGGGAGTTGGGAAATGCAAAGTCGGTCATGGCCTTTCCACTAACTTGGAGCATGTGCATGTTAATGCTGGTGCAAATACGTCGAAAATTGCGGCCGTGCATTCATTACACACACACACACACACACACACCTGCCTTTTTGTTATACTGAAACACACATATTCTATTGTTAATAGACTCTCCCACAGATAATAAGTAGGAGTAGTAGCAGTCGCCAGTCGCTCAGAGAGTTTGTCAGTCGGACATTAAAGTATCAACGACCACCACTATATTTCTCTGCGTCATTAACTATTATATCAAGTTCCTAACGAACCTTTTTAGGACCGACTTAGTGAAATACAAGCCTCCACTGTGAAACTAAACTATAACACTTTATAGATAGAGATGATCTGTTCGTGAGAATATGCGTCCGCACATTAATGGAAGGCACAAAAAACGGCACATCTTAGCGAGATTTCAGTTAGGACATTATCGTTAAATTCTCTTAACTTTAAGCAAATCGTAATTTTCTGTTCAACTTAATATTAGTTTGAGTTAGGAATCATTTCTGTTTTAGTTTATCGATTTTATTCTTAAAAATATAGAGTTCAATTAAATTTTATTCAGGTACATATTCTCTGTTATCTACAATGACATACTGCCACTTTTTTTTAATGATTTAACCACTAAGCATGGCAAGAAATCTTCTAGAATGCAGTGAGTTGCAGGGAGTGAAACTCGGGGAAAAAGGGGGGATTGGGAAAAGGATAAAAGACGAACCGGATCAAAGAAAACAGGAGATAGCGATTGACGTTGCATTTAAAGTTTTGAAGATTGTAACTGTCAAGGAAGCATGTAATCGGAGGGGAGTTCCTCAGGTGGGAAGTGTGAGCAAAAAAATAATGTTGGAGCAGAAGTGGTAGTTACATTTAACTATTTTAAAAGTAAGAGGTTGGCACATAGATGCCAATCTAGTAGCACGTTTAAATTCATGTAGTCGGGTTATCAGGTCAGTTCCCATGCAAATATTTGGAGAAAAGACAAAGGGAAGCCACACAATGTCGGTGAAAATATGCCTGAAGTCGAGATGCCTTTGAGCAAACCTCTGCAAGTTTTGACGTAAACATTTTTTGACCAACTCTTGAATGTGGTTTTTATTAGAGAAAGATTTATCCAATCAAATCGTTTTGCAGCAATCAAGAAAAAGTAATAATCGGTTTGTGAAAGGTGAGTTGATTATTGTGGTCGGAGTAGAATAGAACAACCGAGTTCCAAAATTGCCCAATTCTTGTTGCATGCGGCCTTGCATTATCATGGAGGCGAACAGGTTTTTGTTTTCTTACTGACAAATCACAGGGCACCATTCAATCAAACTTTTATGGCCACACTTACGCTGCTGGATATATCAATGTGCATTAATTTTTCATTGAATGTTACGACATCTAAACGAATAAAACACTGACGATTCTACCAAATACACAATATTAGCTTTTTTCCTTGGAGCACAGTTTTGTGGGTCGGTTGTGGAGATACGTCGTTATCAGTTTGTTGCTGTTTTGCGTTTTAAACATTGTCAGATATTAGTGTAGTTCAAATTTATTCTTAACAGTCACATATGATTAGTAGTTAAGATCATATATTCGTCTTTACAACTGGTTCCAAAAAACCGAAATTATTTCTGATTTGACCTAATATTATCTTTTTATTTACTGTTAATTAACCCAATACAAGTTTCAAGATTTGGCCTAATATTATATTTTATTTAGTGTTAATTAACCCAATACAAGTTTCAAGATTTGGCCTAATATTATCTTTTTATTTAGTGTTAATTAACCCAATACAAGTTTCAAGATTTGGCCTAATATTATATTTTTATTTAGTGTTAATTAACCCAATACAAGTTTATTTAGTGTTAATTTACCCAATAATACAAGTTTCAAGATTTGGCCTAATATTATCTTTTTATTTAGTGTTAATTAACCCAATACATGTTTCAAGATGGTAGATAACGTTTTGCCAAAGAAATATATTATCGGATGGAGAAGCAAAACTTACAGTAATATTACGTTTTCCTACCAACCATTGTATCTGATGAGGTGAAACGAAAACAGTGGCTTAAAACTATACAGCCAGATTTAAATACATATTGTAGAAAATGTCTTTACAGCACAAAAGGTAAAGAGCTTCAGATTTACTTCATGCGCAAAGTGACCCTAAAGGAGTCCCCATTACATCTAGTTTTTATTTTTATTTATGCACAGTGGCAGTACAATAATCAGAATTTTGCACAATGTCTGTTAATAATTATTAAATGTTTATATGTTTGTTTTTTTTTCTATCAAATGCTGAAACAACATAACTTTTAAACATTGTCAGAGAAACAGAAATAAAAAAAAACTAATAAATACTACATAAAATAATGAGATACAAGCAATAATAATAATAATAATAATAACTTAAAACCGAACTCTCAAAAATGTGGCACATGAGAATACCAACAATTCCAGTTGTAGTTGTCGTCCTTGGATTGATTTAAAAAGGTTCCAATCGTGTCATTGAAGGGTTTACTTGTAGACCAAGCCTTAAAGAAATGCAAA